AGGAAGGAAGGAAGGAAGGAAGGAAGGAAGGAAGGAAGGAAGGAAGGAAGGAAGGAAGGAAAATTATATTATAGCTAAAGGGGACAGGCTAGGACAGTGGCACAACCCTGCTTTAGGATTTTGAGGGTAGTTAATGCAATCATTTGAACTGTCCTCCAAAGTCTCCTGTGCTGATCGCTTGCTTCCCAGCCAGCAACATCACTCTCTGAGGTTCTGGAAATGTTAGGAAATGGGGCCTAATTACAGAAAGTAGGCCACAGCCAGAAGGGTACCTTCAAAGGCTCTGCCTAGTGCCTGGTTCTTCCCTCTACTCTGCATTCTGCCCATTATGAGGTGACGAGAGGCCTCCAGTGCTCTCTGGTGGCCATGAAATTCTCCTTTCCTATGGATCCAGAGTCAACAGCACTGAAGACAGTGGACAGAGGCCTCAGACTGAGGCAAGACAGGCCACATCACTGAAACTAGAGAAATAACTAGGAGAATGAGATATCTATCTGCAGATTGATGCAATGAGAGGTTCTAGGCTATGAGACCACCCCCCTCAGTTCTGTGATCTGTTAGTTCTTATGCCAGCAGTGTGTCCCCAGCAGGTGTTCAAGAAACAAAAATGTATGCTCTTGAAGAGGGCCAGGGTTCACCAGACCCACGCAGATGCCACGAACAATGATTTTTTTATGTTTTTACACTGAATTTTAATTTTTTTAAATTTTATGCTCACGTGTCTGTGCAGGGGTGTCAAGGTGCCACGGAATGTGTGTCGAGGTCAGAGAACAACTTGGGAGAGGCTGTTTCTCCTTAGTCCTGAACTCAGGTTGTCGGGCTTGGCAGTAAATACCTTTACTGACCAAGCCATCTCGCTGGCCCAACAATCCTGGTTTAAGACCCCACTTAATTCCAGTAGATTAAGCCCTCTTTTTAATCAAGACATCAATAAGGTTTCTTTTTAAATTTTTATTTTTAATTGATTTGGTATTTTAAAATCTATTTTATAAACTTCATTATTGAAAAAGCTTGCAAATAAGTGAAAAAAAATTCAAAGAACTTGTGAGCAGGCACTAAAATCACACCATCAACAGAAACCATTGAAGGCTGGCAAAAATCATTTGGTTTGTCATACAAAGTAATGACCATCTCTTACTTTCTCTGATTGTTTCCCCAATTTCTTTGAAATAATGAGGTATTTCTAGTACTGGCCTGGTAAAGGCTTTGAGGCAATATATAGATAGTACCGCGAACTCTGGGGAAAAAGAAAAAGAAATTGGGGCATAGAAAAAATATAATTTTTCTATTCTTCTCTATAAACCTCTAGGTGAACTTATGAGGGACTATTAATAGTGCTGAATGCCCAGCACTGGGGCTGTCAGTGAGGAAAGGGAAAGCTTGCCTTTCTTCTCACCCTGCACCGTCTGCATGAGAAGTATATACCATGGACATATACCGTGGCCGTTATGATTCTCAGTAAAACAAAAAGAAAGAAAAGGAGCTTATTAAATGTGCGCCACAGTTGATAAGGTTAAGTCCCTACTGATGGATTCTTAGTTGTGCTGGGCTCAGCAGGCCTGTCTTCCCACTGAAGCGCTCATGTTTGAGTTACCCTTGGCAGCACCATTTGAGATGAGAAGAATGTGACTGAGCCCAACAATGAGGACCGGGTGCTTACCACTGTGTGCTCTGTCCAGATGCTTTAAATACTAGCTGTCATCATAAAAGTCTCCCCTAATCCTTGGCAGCACTGTCTGCACGATGCCCCAAGAAATGTCCAAAGATCAGACGTAAAGCTAGCATCTTACGAAATAGATAGGTGATAATTACATTAGCAACAGATTTTAATTTACCTCAACTCATTGGTTCAACCTTTGATTCTGTGTGAGGGGTGCGGGGTAGGACACAGACAAATGCCACAACCTAGCAAAATTTCAGGGTAGAGATGGCTCCTATACAAGATAGAGGGCCGATGTAATTCATTTTTTAAATGTATTAGCATTATTTTGATAATGATCCTGTAGCGAGAACCACAAAGATAGGGGTGTGTGTGTGTGTGTGTATACATATATATATATATATATATATACATATATATATATATATAAATTTATTAAGGGGTGTGAGGGAGAACAGACTCACAGAGTTGGGAATGAGGGAACTGAGAACTAGCCATACACGCCTTTTCATAACACCTCACTGGTCTTCTCAACCCAAGAGAGCCTGCGAATTGAGGGAACTGGGAACCAGCCACAGGCTTCTTCATACCACCTCATGACCCGAGAGTTTAAAGATGCCTATACTCAAATATGTCTAACAAAGATTCTCGTTGCCTTCAGCTGGTTTCTCAGGTTTTTAAAAATGTCTAGACGACCCTGGGATTTGCAACAGCTCTTTGGTCTTCGGAAAATGTGACTTTTAGTTTCACAAAACTAAATATTTGCAATTATGTCTTGGAGGGGGGCACATCGTTTGGTCTGATCCCCCCTGATATTTGACAGTAAAATATACATTAAAGACGAGATCAAGGCCAGGGCCAAACTAGCTGGACAGAGCAGCCAACCAGGAAATGTTTGTTAGCCGAGGTCCTTTCACGGCTGCAAGAGACAAAGTTTAAGTCTCTCTCTCTCTCTCTCTCTCTCTCTCTCTCTCTCTCTTTCTCCTCCTCCTCCTTCTTCTTCCTCTTGTCCTTTTCTCTTCCTCCCCCCCCTTCCTGAGTTCTATCCTATCCCAGTCTCCTTTTCTTTCTTCTTATAAAAGAACTAACGGTGGGTATGATGAGGGTGGGCAACCACTCGATTCTCTTGGGATAGTAGTGTACTATGAAAAGTTTCTTATTGGGCCTCAAAGATCTGCTGTGTCTATATAACCTTCAGGTGTGCAGCAGTCTGAGAGCAAGCGAGGCTCTATGAGACTCTGTTGAAACAACCAACCAACCAACAAGCCAAACAAGCCGTGAGGGTAAGAGAACTGTGTTCTTGCAGAAGACTAGGTTTTGGTTCTTAGCATCCATATGGTGGCTCACAACCATCTCTACCTCCATTTCCCAGAGAGGGGGGAGTATTAGCAAGAGACAGCCGTAGGTTCTCTGCCTCAGCAGACTAGGTATCACTTGTGGGGGCCACTTTGTGGAATATGGATACCCAACAGATCCCTGGCCTCTGCCCTCTGGAGACAGGCAGAAAATTCACCACCACCACCACCACCACCACTCCACCACCACCACAACCCCTGCCCCCGCTGCCAAGGACACACACGAAAACAAGTCCAGATGTTGTCATATATCCCTCACATCGGGAGAAATCCCCTTGAGCCAGGATCCATTCCCCCAAGCTCAGAGGTAGAACCGCCTTACCATCCATTTCCCTCTGAGTAGAGGAAACTTTTTCAAATAGTAAAAGCTGCACAGGGTCAAACTTCATATGGCAAAGTTTTCCTCCATCCCTGGCCTATGCCAGCCTGTCACCGTCCCCCATGGGAGATCTGACGGCCTGATAGATCTTTTCCCTGTCTCATATTCTGCCTTGTGACAGCAGAAATGACACGCTGATGCTGAAAACACACCAGGGACCACAGGACACGTTCTCTCGGGGACACCGCTGCACATGCCAGTCCACAAAGGAAAAAGAGTCACTGGTTCAGTCAGGACGAAGAGTCGGCCTTCAGATCAATGTGATCTAAGCTCTGTGTGCGATGCACAGCACCCTCCCAAAGAAATAAATACATCTGATTCTTTTAAAGCAGAGTAAATACGTCATCCTTGTTGCATTCAAGGCCAGGGTACCTCATATACCGATGAAGCTAAGATACTAAGAAGAGCATAAAGATGGAAACACACCACCAGGTGGCTTCACAGTCATAGCCAAGCCTGCACACTCTACGTGGCTGCTTCCACTTGCAACAGCCTTCTTCCTGTTTGGGACACAAATCATACTGCGTTCCTAGCGTCTACTGAATTGTGAAATGCAGAAGTAGAGACTTGGTCATAAAAAAATGGTTTTTTTTCCTCCTCATTCCCGCTCTGTTTTATTTCCACCCCTTTTCCTGCCCCCACTTTTTTTTCCTGACAGTGTTCACACATGCATGGGAGGAGTTGACTCAACACATCTGGATTATGAAATAAACCATGAGGTGTGTGGATGGTTTCACGCAAACTGTATGTGTTGTTGATGTTCCTTTGAGTGCTTGAAATCCAGCAGCTGCCTTAGCAAGTTCTGGAAAGAAGGACACACAGATTTTACTAGCCACTCTGTCATCGGAATGATTTTTTTTTAGATCCCACTAACCAGGTCTCATTGGAAAAACTTGGCATTACTCTACAGATTGCCAGCTGGGAGGTAACATTGGCTCACTACTTAACTCCTAGTGCCTTTCTCTGTGTGGACCCATCTTCAGGGTTTGCTGGGGTGGAGGTTCTCACTAATGCCTGGTTATCGGGAATTCATCCCATTCAAGGGGACTTACCAATGCTTGTAAAGTATCATTAGAAGCCAATGAGTGGTTTTTGTTGCTATTTTTGCTTAATTTATTTGAGAGAGTCCCACCACCCAGTCCAAGCTGGCCTCAGATTTGTAATCCTCCTCCTTCAGTCTCCTGAGCACTGGACTTAAAGGTGTGCATTACAACACCCAGGCAGAAATTAGAGTAAAAAGTTCAAAACCATCTACCGCCCAACTTCTGGCTGTAAACAGACCTCTCCTTCTGGGTCCTCATGTTCCTATGTGATTCCTGTTTGTCTTGTTCCTTCTGCCTGAGACATTCCTTTCTCCCATGGCCAGGTGCTCCCACCCCCAAAGTCCCCACCCCCCAATCCCTGCCGCCTCCTCACCCCCACCCCCGCCCCCGCCACCTCATCCTTCTAGACCAAGAAAATCGGATTTCGTACATTATCTCACTGCCTTGTGACATTTAAGATCATTTACATTCCCTTCCCGCTCCACAGAAAACCCTTTGAGACAGGCAAGGCATCCGGTGACTCCTTCCACTCCACAACACCACATAGCACTGGACTTTGTTCCCCAAGTTCAGCAGATAACGTGTTAAATAAATGACCCATTAGACATCACGTCTCTGCCTGATATTTGCTCTGCCCTGAGCGTGTCCATCTGGAGTGTGAGATAATGCAGTTAAGTTCCCCTCCGGCCCCATCAGCCGTCCCAGGTGAGGCAAGGCAAAGGCCAGCTCCGGATCAAACCTCGGAGCTGATGTTGCAATCTCCCCGTGGCCAGCACGTGTCAGCATTTCTGCTTCCGCATCTTCCTACGTATCTCCAGAAAGCAGGCTTCCTAAAGAGAACATCTGGTTACTAAAGACACAGCCGTGTTCTCCCCCGCCCCCACCATCCAGTGTTTTCACAATTCAAAATGAAAAAAAAAATTACATCACCTAGTCTTACCCTCCTTTGTAGGAATGGCTGCCAGTGAGATGATGAAATGACATTATCCTGGACCTGAAAGCCATTGCTGGAAGTGAATCCTCAAGGAGGAGGAAGGCCAACAGTTATAGTTTCTTACATGTGTTCTACGCTGAGAATGAAGCCACAGAGGTGAGTTTTAGATAGATGTCTTCATACGTGTTATCAAAAGAACTCATATGTTTGGCCTACACGGTTCATTAGCAACTGTGCCGTGACTCCTGAAGACACCCGAGTCTGCTTCGGAACTGCTGATGAATGTGAACTTCTTAGACTGATAAAGAAAATAAATTACTTTATTTTTTTTAAAAAAAAATGTTGTCCTATTGATTTATATAAACCCATATTTCAAACAAAAGATTTTTTTTCGCTTGAATATTTTCTCTCACAGAGAGAGTTAATAGTCGAGGGCCCAGCTTTGGGTCACTCTGCCTTCCTCTTTCTGAAGAATTGAATTTAGACAAGACAGTTTCATAGTTTTTTAGGCGCTTCTTTGTCCTCACTGTTTCTTTAGTGGCACCTGAGAGTCATATAAAATGTGTTTTATTGTCAACACAGGGAGCCATGTTGAGTCTCAGATGGTCCTAGGGGAGAGGTAGTGGGCTGGGGGAGTCTGTTGAACAGCAGTCGGGAGAAGACTTGCCTGCCTGTATTTGTGTTCTGGTTCTATTACCGATGGCAGTTTGGGTTGGGGACCGCCAATTAACCTCTCCGCCTCTCAGGCTGCTATCTGAAAACTGGAGATAACGGATGCATCTCTCAGATGGACAGGCCTTGTGAAGTATTCAATGTCAACTCTTTTTATGAATGGGACTCCAGCATCCAAACAGTATATTCATTTCAAACCAGTGCTTGATGTTTCATCTGAGGGGCAAGGCAAGAGAAAAGCTAAGCAAGAGACACTGGTCCAAGGGGTTGAACCATGCTTGCTTTGTGAATCCAGCAAAAGAGCGCATTCTCTGAGCTCTGGTTTCTTCACTGTCAGATGGACACCGTAATCACTACTCTCCCAGAACAAATGAGCCAGTCTTGGTGGTGCATGCCTATAATGCTAACACATGGGAAACTGAATTAAAAAGATTGTGAGTTTGAGGCCAGTCTGGACTGTGTGGCTACGCATAACACAACTCTGCTTTAAAACCATATAAAACAAAACAGAAAGAAGGGGGCAGGGTTAGGCAGCAGAAGGCATTGAGGCCAGGCATAGAGGTGTCCACCCTTAATCTCAGCACTTGAGAGACAGAGGCAAGCAGATCTCTGTGAGCTTGAAGCTCCTGGTCTACTTGGAGTTTCAGGCTAGCCGGTGCTACATAGTAAGATCCTGTCTCAAAAAGAAAAGCCATTAGCCGGGCGGTGGTGGTTCACGTCTTTAGTCCCAGCACTCGGGAGGCAGAGGCAGGCGGATCTCTGTGAGTTTGAGATCAGCCTGGTACAAGAGCTAGTTCCAGGACAGGCTCCAAAACCACAGAGAAACCCTGTCTCGAAAAACCAAAAAAAAAAAAAGAAAAGAAAAGAAAGAAAGAAAGAAAGAAAGAAAGAAAGAAAGAAAGAAAAAAGAAAAGCCATTGAGCCCAACATCTGTCAAATCTGGTTATTCAGTAAGTGGTACCTATCTGATGAATAGGTGTCACCCTAGCATCATGAGAAGTCAGATAACCAAAGACCAGCGCATCAACTAGAAAAAAATCTGGAGATGGGGCTGGAGATGTAGCTCACGTGACATAGACTGGTCTAGCATGAAGCCTGGGGTTTGGTCACAGCACCATATAAAACCAGGCATGGTAGTGTGCACCAGTAATTCCAGTATCCAGGAGGTAGAAACAGAGAGATCAGAAGTTCAAAGCTAGTCTCTGTTACATAGGGACTTTGAGAACAACCTGAGTCATAGAAGACCCTGTTCTTTCAAAACCAAGACTAGAGAAGTGCCATGGAAGACAGGATTTGGCTAGAGCCTTGATAAATAGATTTCTACATTTGAAGCAGCCGTAGATAATAAGTTCTGTGCCTTTTTCATTTATTTTCTTATTTTGAAGTTTTGTTTAGCTGCATGTGTGCACAGTGTTGGGGGTGGGGAAGGGTCAGAGGGCAGCTTGTAGGGTCAGTTCTCCTCTTCTGCCATTTGGATCCTTTGGAGTGAACTCAGGTCATCACGCTCGGTGACGAGCACCTTTGCCTATTATGCTATCTCAGACGCGCATGCCTTGTTCATTTAACACTTGGATGTATTTAGTAATTCTGTCTGCATTCTAAAACAAGAAGATGTAGGCACAGGAAGTTGACATGATCTCCCTAAAGTTCCACTCATGAATCCTGGCTGAGCAGGGAATATACACAAGAATCTGGCTCCTGAGCCTATGCCCGTAGCCATCACTTAGAATGGAACAGGGCAGTGGGGACAAGGCAGGCGTGATATGAGAACAAGCCTGGGAGGACCAGAGAGCAGGCTTTAAGTCTTGTATTTTCTTTCTCTAGAGAGGTAAGTTCAAGTGGGATGAGCTATCATTAAAAGAAAGCCCCCATGTGGTGGAAAAGGTTAAAGATGAAGGGCAAGTGGGACAGAGTTCTCACAGTCACAGGCCACAGAGAGGTTACAGAGAAACAGAGAATGGCTTGCCTTCTGCATCAGTGAGGACCATGACTTGAGTGAAGGCGTTAGAAGGAGGACCCGGGTTTTGTGAAACCACACTAGCCTTTTTCAAAGGCTGCCTGGGGTTCTCACGAGGTCACCTCGTCTAAGACACCAAAGCAGTTCTCTCCTTTGTCAGCAAAACGCTGCTGTTGCTTCTCGTCAGGCAGAAAAACCTTTTGGTATTGCCTCTCATCAGGTCTTGGCTATTACAGGCATTTTTTTTAAAGGTTAGACTCAAGATATTTTTCAGATTTAAGCCGTAAAATGTCATCTCGTGCATGTATAATTAATCGTGTCGGCGTCAAGGTTGTGAAAAGCAACCTTGCGGAGCATGTTGAAGCAAACAATAAACAGTCTTCAAATCCCTCAAAACACAAACTGGCACCAGAAAGGCTGGGGCAATAACACGTGATGGGACAGAACTCTTGCCTAGAATGCAAGGAGCTTGGTTTATTTTGCCCAAAAGCAATGGTGAATAAAAAGAGCACGTTTTCCTTTCATCATAAAGGCTCCAAGTGTGTCTAGTGTGTGGTATTATTTTGCATGTGTGCAAAAGGTCTGCTCTCTGCTTTCAGAGTGTTACGGACACAACTTTAACTGTTCTTAAGCTCCGGGCTCTGCTTGACAATTGCAAAGTTTTCTTTTCCCAGCCTTGTCCGGGTTTAGATGCCAAGCTGCTGCTTCTCCTCAGTTAGATTCGGTGGCAGTTACTGAGTGATAGGTGTCACCAGTTTAGTGCGACCCCTGGTCTGTCTGAACAGTCTAGATGGCAAGTTTCACTGAGGCTTTTTGGCTCCCAATTGCATGCCCTCACCTTGGTATGCAAGATGCTTTCAGGCATTAAGAGGCAGTTAGCTTAAATTATTCAGTGATTTGGCTCCTTGCTCTATCTTCTGCCCCTCCAACTCCCATTAACCCACTTCTCTTTCCCAATTTCTACTCTTTTCTATGTCTATTTAGTTAGTGACCCAATGGGTCTCATTAGGATTGTTTACAAGGTGGGGGCAGGAGTTTGTTTATAGGAGTGTGTGCATCTTTCCAATGGCTACACCACTCAAGAAAATGCCTTTCTCCTTTATCAATGATCATTTACACAAAAATTCTCAGGGACAGGTGGAATCCCGTGAAATACTTGAATTTTAAGTAAGTTCACTGTATATTAGTTTCTGTTTTCTATAATTGTCATCTAATTAAGAGAAATGTGACATTTCATCAAATTCCTCTCTACAACTGCCCTTTCATTAAGCAAAGGAGGCTGAAGAGATGGTTCAGAGTACCCTTCCAGGAGACTTGGTTCAATTACCAGCATCTACATCAGGTAGCTCACAACTGCCTGTAATTCCAGTTCCAGGTGATCCAATACCTTCTGGTCTCCTTGAATATGTGCCTACACGCAGTGCACATAAATTTACATAGGCACACACATGTACACAGACACAAAAAAAATCTTTAAAAAATACAGCTTTATAAAAAAAAAGAATTACCAGACAACTCAGTTTTGCTCCCATCAAAACATGAAGAAGAAGAAGAGGAAGAGGAAGAGGAAGAGGAAGAGGAAGAGGAAGAAGAAGAAGAAGAAGAAGAAGAAGAAGAAGAAGAAGAAGAAGAAGAAGAAGAAGAAGAAGAAGAAGAGGTACAAAAAAATTCCAGGATGGACTAGGGAGAGACCAACCCCAACCCCTCACCCCTATTGAAGGCACCACTGACATATGATGGCTACTTGGGAGGAAGTCACTCTCCTTTGGGAGTGTGGCTACTGATAGATGCTCATATTTCAGTGGGTAGGCACACACTGTGTGCATATGAGTAGCATTAATTGGACTCAGGCATTAATACCAAGCAAAGAGGACATGAAGCTGAGAGGCAGATACGATGGGGCACTAGGGTGATGTGAGGTGTAAAATCAAAAACTTCTAAGATGAACCCAGCAAGAATAAATAGACTACTGAACAGGTGGTCAACACTTGCAGATGAAGTAAAGCCAACTGAATGGCTGTATTTCTTCTTAAGCTTCAGAATACATCTTTTGTGAACTGCAGTGTTCTCACTTATTTTTCTGTACTTCAGAATGCGTATATAAGAAATATATTTGTTATGAAATTGCAATGTGGAACATTTGGGGGAGACAGAAGATAGAACAAAGAGAACACGTGTCAAGAAAAAAAACCCTAGGTAAACAAATCATTGAGCATATACCAAGCAAAGTGCAAGTGGTATCTACCACTGTGTTCAATCTTTTCTGCTGTTTTCCACCATGTCCTTCCATCCTAATCCTTTTAGAGGTGACATTCTAATTGCTAATCAGCAGTCAGTGAAGAACCAAGGGTTTGGTGACTCAACCATCATCACACAGTAACAGCCCTCTAAGTGCCTCCGCCCCATTTAAGGCACTTAGAATACCTTAGAGAAAAAGCACAAAAGGCTCCTGCCTTCTTAGACTTTATCTCTCATGGGGTATGGTGAAGACATCAGACATAATATATGAGACGCATATAGTATCAAGGAAATTTCTACCTGCCAAAAAATATTTAAGTGGAATAAGGTTAAGAACGGATCCATATAGGGATGGTAAGAAAGGTCGGATTGTCCTAGTAAACAGGGTCAACAGTATAGAGGCCCAGAGAAAAAGCTGAGGTGGCGAGAAGGTAAGGTGTTATCCAGGTCAGCCCCTGGCTAAAAGCAGAACCAATAACTAGCGGAAAACCCTCAGACAGAGGTCTGGTCGCTGTCTTGGTTTGTTTATGTATATGAGTGTTCAATTGGCACGCACATCTTTGTATCACATT